GAGTACATGGCACTGGCTGCTACTACACAAGAAAGTTTGTACCTTGTACAGTTATTGGGCCAGATGGATAGTGAGTGCCAATATGCACCAGTAACAATCTTTGAAGATAACCAAGGTGCAATTGCTCTGTCAAAGAACCCAGTATGTTGTCAGAGATGTAAACATGTTGACATCAGATATCATTTCATTCGATCTGCGCTCAGTGATGGCAAAATAAGTATTGAATATTGTCCAACGGCAGACATGGTTGCAGATGTTTTGACTAAACCTGTAACGAAGTTCAAAAATGAAAAATTATTGGGTTATATGTTTGGAATGTAAACTGACATTTGTGAGATGTATAACTGTAAGCTAAATGTGTTGATAGTTAGGTTGAATACGACTTGTACAGTATAAGAGCAAGTGGGGGTGTTAACATATAGACTAATATGTTATAAATTGTGTTCTTACACTGGTACAGTTATGCCCTATGAGAGATGTACAACTGCGCATGTGCGAAAATAAAGAAAGGGCATTTTCCCGCGTTCTGGTTGAAACACCAACGATGAACATGTGTGTTTATTCCTCCGTCAAGTAAGCCGGTATTCCTGTCCTGAAGATGACAGCACCAACACCTTGCCTTAACCACAACCCTAACCCTAGCTTCACTTCAACAACCTAGTTCAAACCTAACTCTAGCCTCAACCACAACCCTAATTTGGCATAACCTTAACATGCTAACCAGACCGCACGCACGCTTGCGCCATCGAACGCATGTTGATTTTGTCCCACCACACAAGACACGATCAGGATAAGCAGGTTGAAATATCAAAACAAACTCTGAACCAATTATATTAATTTGGGGACAGGTCGAAAAGCATTAAACATTTATGGCAATTTAGCTAGCTTGCTGTTGCTAGCTAATTTATCCTGGGATATAAACATTGGGTTGTTATTTTACCTGAAATGCACAAGGTCCTGTAGTCCGACAATTAATCCCAGTTCATTTTTCAAATCACCCACGTGGGTAGATGCTCCTAAAAACCAATGAGGAGATGGGAGAGGCAGGATTTGCAGCGCGTTGAGCGTTACAAATAGAACAGAGTTCTATTTTAGCACCTGGCCACGCAGATTTACGTTGACGCGTGCGGGCAGTGTGGGTGCAATGATTGAATAACATGTATGTGGACATTTATTTTGCAACGCTCACGCACGCGATGCGTGCGGTGTGGTCTGCATGTATCCCTAATTCAGAGTATGCAGAGTATTGCATATGCGGAGTATTGAAAAAGCAAGAAAGTATTGTTTGTGTCAAAATCATAGCAGGCTCTGATGCTTCGTGGATATTACGAGCTTTTAGCAAGAGGCGTTCAATCAAGAGCCTTGAATGAATAAATTAAGAACGTCAAGCTAGCTCAGATACATTTTTATTTGTTGGGTTCTTGCATAAATGAACATAATCATCATCATTGTGTTTTTACTACCTTGATAAAATACATTACGGTTTATGGCTTCATTTGAGTTCTGGTGGAAATGCTATGTACATAACAACTTGAAATACTATTTACAAAATCAGAGTAATAAAATGAGAATACCCCAGTCAAACAGAACAACACCAAACACAGGCCTCTCATGAAAAAAACAACAACCTTTCATTCAATAGAATAAAATAAGAAGAGTATAGTACAAAAATAAGGGGTATCAGAAGAAAAACGTCTATAACAACAATAACAAAAAGTTCATTTGAGTATGATTTGCCCTAAAAAATAAATAAGTAAATAAATACATCAAATAGATAGAGCTGCAACAACCTCTTTGAATGAAGTGAGATAAAGTCCATAAAGCAAACATATTAAGTAAAGATTTCACTACAACATAACGCCACTCCACCCTGGTCAGCATTGCCATAGTTAAGGTATATGGTGTTGCTAAGACCCCTGACTGGGGCTTGACTCATGTTTGACTGACAGAGCGGGAGGCTTCCCTGCAGATAGATTACTTGTGTTACCATGGTGTTAACATGTAGCTACCTAGGGATCTCCCAGTTACTTCCAGAGGAATACAGAATAAGAGTATGGTAAAGAAAGTATTGGTTCCTATGTAAGAGCAATCTAGTGGAATGAAAAATGCTTCCATCTGAAGTACTGTAGTTGGTTAATTATAATTTAGTTTCATATGGTTGGCCGCAACGTAGAACACAGTACTCCAAGACTAAATGATTGTGTGTTAAATATGTCCCATGGAAACATTGTTATTATGAGATGATTGTAAAGCGAATGGACTTCATGTCAAACCCTTGTTTTCATTGTGCCATAATTCAGATGGAGTTGAAAGGGTGGAATGGCAGCAGATATTCTGGAAGACTACCTCTTCAACTCAAATCGATCTGTTCTCACAGCGGAGTGTACATACAGTAACAGTCAGATCTCCATTTCCATGGTATAACACAGTAGTTATTTTGTTAACTCGGGGGGGATGGGAGCTAAAGGACAGGCAAGGTTCAAAGTGGGATTATGAAAAAATGTATACTCAAAAAATGCCAAATCCATATCAGTTTTGAAAGATCACATTCTTCTGAAAGCGCAGAGTTTGGAAGCACAAGGATGTCTTATCGCTAAAGGAGTTTGTGGGGAGTTATGAAGCGGATGGAACTACTTATGAGGACATAATCAAGTACATGGGCAGGGAGGGAGGGAGGAGTCCATGTCCTTCTTAGTGTCTCTTGGTGCTGTTATGAAGTGGCCGTTTAAACAAGGGCAGCATTCCAAATGGAACTACATTCCCTATACAGTGCACTACTTTTAACCAGAGTAGTGCACTATAGACAAGTTCCCCAGTCGGCTAGGATCGACTGGCATCTCCTATCATCTTATATTTTGTTTGCAAAAGAAGAATGAAACAACTGTACAAAAAACAATATTGCTTTCAAGTGCTTCTCCTTTCTTTTAAAGTTCTGCTCATAGGGTGATGACATCCTTGCACTGTTTAACGATAGGTGTTTGGCCACAGACAGGGCTGCCACAACCTGAAACTACATGCATTTGAACATAAAAACTGTGTTTTTGGCAGCCAGAGGGAATTTAAAATACATTTAAACACAGCACTTGTCTATTAGGATAACCTCTGATTCTTACGAATGCAAAATGTGTGTAGAAACACAATACTCCTCCTGCAACAAATATCTGTAAGCCTACCTAAACACTTGTGTGTACATCATGGTGTAGCATCTGCAGTACAGCAATGGTGAATGAACAACGATCCATGTCTTTTTTAACATTCCTATAGCACAGACATTTTGTCTTTCTTAATTGTCCAATAGTAAATTGATTGAATGCATGTCTGTCTGTGCCTATTCAAGGCAAACATTGGCCCATATTGCAGAAGTAAGCAACCACTCTATGTCCAATGGGGCTGGATCATTACTCCTTCACAAGGAAGGCCTACATCCATCTTTCTGCTTTAGTGGATCGTTTTAGACAAAAAGTAGAGTTATCGGTTCAATCGTTTCTGGCAGGATAAATATGGAACCTGTGCCAAACAAGATTTTTGGCAGGGTGAGTTATAGAGCAGCAGACTAAACAGCAGACAATGCACCTTTTAAAGGCATTTTCCCCAGACGTTCACAGAGATCGCATTCATGGTAAACACTGTGCATGTCAGGTTAAGCACAAATTACCTTTAAAAGTCTGTTAAAGTACGCTGGTCTTTAACGCGCCTTGGATTGAATCCTGGCTCATGTATGTAAACTCAGTTTATAGTCATATAAAAGGTGGATGAGTCCTGTTACTCGTTTACTCTTTTAGCACGTCAAACTCTCATTTTGAGTTTTAAATAGCAGCTCAGTTTAGAACTTCATTGTTAATGGCGGCAGTCATAGGCTGCCTATATAATGCTGTTATAATGGCATTATTCCTGACAAATTTTTCACTACATAAAACAGTCTGACAATGGATCAAACACATGTAAAACATTTGACTCTTGGTTGAGATTCTTCGCATTTCATTGTCCATAACACATACACTACTAGGTAATGTCTGGTCATAAGTTTAATATAATGGCTGTTGTCATGATCTGCCACTATCTGTTACGTCATGTGTTACAGTAGGTTGTGAAACAGCACACTATATGGCAGCTTCAGGGAAAGTGTAAACTTATTTTCTCCTGTCAGGAGATCATTGACATGGTCAAAGCTAGTGTGGAGACCCTGCATTAAGTCTCACTCACATACACACATCCTTCCATTCATACATACCCACACTTTTTTATTTAACTTAAAATAACATGATATATAACATGTAATATAAAGCACAACAGTTTAAAAAATAACATAACTGAAAACAGGGAAGTCTATTATATCGATCCCCACATTGTGACACATTTAGTGGGCAGTAAAATGTGGTTGTTTTCTGGCATTAATGGCTACCCAGTTTTCCATGACTGAAACATGTCCACATCCAGGGCAGACAAGATAAACCCTTGATACCAGCCACTTCTTGGGGCCGACCTCAGGAGCCCAGTTAAATTATTTAACAACGATTCTTCAGATTATCCAGACCATGGTGAGCATGTGGCTGTCTCGAACAAGGTGACGTTTGTCCATGCATCTGGTCTGTGTGTGTGTGTGTGTGTCTGTGCGTACTTTTGAGTTGAGCTGGTCTGTCATCCGATGCTTGTTGCTTGGAGAACAACAGTGCCCAGTTCTCAGTCTAGTTCCACAAATGATGTATGTGTGTGTGAACATCAGTCAACCTGAGGGTGAGTTTTCCAGCAGTACTAACCAGATCTCAGCAACATAGAGAGAGGTGTGTGTGTGTGTGTGTGTGTGTGTGTGTGTGTGTGTGTGTGTGTGTGTGTGTGTGTGTAAAAGAGGGAAGGAGGTACTTCAACTTGTTCTGCCTCATGGGCTGGGCCGCCATTACAAGAAGGGAGGTGCATCTTTAGCAGTGGTTTAAAGGGTGTCGGTTGGTCCATCTCTCTCTCTCTCTGCTCCCCTCTCTGTCCCTGGGTCCTAGGGCCTGTCAGCCCTGGCTGCCACAGGAGGACAGGCTGTCGTAGAGGGAGTCACTGAGGGATTCAGGCGTCTCTCTCGGGGACAGGATGTCCTCTGGGGTCTCCTTCACCAGCTCCAGTCCTCCATCCTTCCCCACCTCCGGGGCACTGGGCGTCCGCCCCTTACCCCGCTGGCTGAGTCCCATCTGGGGTGGCAGGGGGAGGCTGCCTGGGTCAGTAGCCAGGGGGCGCTGGGGGACACACTGTTTCAAACTCTTGGGGGAGAGGACAGGTGGGCACATGAAGAAGGGGGAGGGAGGAGGGGAACATGGGAGGATATGGATGGTCGGGAGGGACAGGGGGACAGAATTATGCTATAGTTAGTTATTTTAGGACAACGTGAGATTTAACAGATTCTAGGGCAACACGTGCACCGTTGCATTTATATCTGTGACTTCAAGAAATGCTTTTGTCAGTAACCATGTTTCCATCCAACCGAGTAAAGTACATGTCGCATAAAAAACTCACGACAGGCCTAATGGAAACAGACGTTGTTGGTAAACTTTCCTAAATGTCAACAAAACTATACTGAACAAAATATAAATGCAACACGCAACAATTTCAATGATTTTACTGAGTTACAGTTCATATAAGGAAATCAGTCAATTGAAATAAATAAATTAGGCGTAATCTATGGATTTCACATGACTGGGCAGGGGCACAGCCATGGGTGGGCCTGGGAGGGCATAGGCCCAACCACTTGGGAGCAAGGCCCACCCACTGGGGTGCCAGGCCCAGCCAATCAGAATGAGATTTTCCCCAAAAGGGCTTTATTACAGACAGAAATACTCCTCAGTTTCATCGGCTGTCCGGGTGGCTGGTCTCAGACGATCCCACAGGTAAAGAAGCTGGAGGTCCTGGGCTGGCATGGTTACACGTGGTCTGCGGTTGTGAGGCCGGTTGGACGTACTGCCAAATTCTCTAATACGACGTTGAGGCAGCTTATGGTAGAGAAATAAACATTCAATTCTCTGGCAACAGCTCTGGTGGACATTCCTGCAGTCAGCATGCCAATTGCATGCTCCCTCAAAACTTGAGACATCTGTGGCATTGTTGTGTGACAAAACTGCACATTTTAGGGTGGCCTTTTATTGTCCCCAGCACAAGGTGCATGTGTGTAATGATCAGCAAGATCAGCTTCTTGCTATGTCACACCTGTCAGGTGGATGGATTATCCTGGCAAAGGAGAAATGCTCACTAACAGGGAAATTTGTGCACGAAGTTTGAGAGAAATACGTTTTTTTGTGCATATGGAACATTTCTGGGATCTTTTATTCCACCTCATGAAACATGGGACCAACACTTTACATGTTGCGTTTATATTTTTGTTCAGCATAAATACTTTGACAAGGGTTTATAATTTTTTTGTCTGTGAAATAGATAATGTGACAAACTTATTTTTTGGGATAGAATATTGTTGATATTGCAATTGTTGATATAATAACCATCATATCGTGGGTAATTTGCAGTCATGTGATGCTATTTTTTGGGTCCTCCCACTACGACATGGAAAAGCATGCACAGTTTATTAGGCTAACGATTAAATAAGGGTGGTGAATGTGCACGTTGATAAGTTTGATGATCCTTTCCAATAAATATCGAGGGTCTTAACCCTTGTGGGAATTGGCCTATATGGATAGGGCTAAATTGAAATGTTTCTTACAGAATAAATATGAAATGCATATGCATAACCATGGTAGCAATTGAAAGGGAACAGTTTGGAGATAATGGAGAAATTATTAGATCAAACGTGAGTACACAACAGTTCACTCGACAACATTACACTGTTGATTTTATGTGCATTTTACATTTACTGTAATTTTCGCCGCATTTGTTTATAAATAGTATGGATACATTCAGTAACATAAGATTATTCCTGGAAAATGTGGTGTAGGTGCAACATAAGACAAAACAATGACAAGGGTTTGAGTGAGAGGACTATCTGGTGTCTCCAATGGCCCCACACCTCTCCAAAGCGTGCAGGGTTCCTAAGTAATTTCAATGCACTTTTATGACTCAAAGAAGTGTCTTCAACTATAAGGTGCTTTTTTGAGCTCTCCTAGCTGTCCCGTTAAGGATCTAGAGCAAGCACAGTTGTAGTTGTTTTATTTGGAACACAACCCTGCATCCCCGCCATCCCACAATTACTGTTCCTCTTTACACAATCCAAAAACGGTCCATTATAAATAGCAATCTGGGTCAGGTGGGCATGATTTGTTCTATTGCCAACATGACTAGCTAAGTTATAAAATACGATCGTACAGTCTTTGGCTTTCACAAGGCAATTCAGAGAAACAGATCGTAATTTTGGTGCTCATAGAAAGGAGTCATGAGTGCATTCAGGTGCGTATGCTCAGGCGAATGTTCTTAACAATAAACAAACAGACTCATTCTGTTCAGAACAACCCAGGGTATGACGACATGTCATCTTGTTACTGTACATCAAACATAGTGATCATAAACATTGACACTGTTTATGATATTCGTTTTATGATTTGGAAATGTGAAGTGCACATTTGGACTCACGGGTGTTTGGCTTGCTTGTATGACATCAAAGCGTTACTTATTATAAAACCTCAATGTCTTATCTTTCAAAATACGTCGAGTCATCTTAATTTACATTCCCCACACTCAGACATAATTTATTTGCAAAAGTTGCCCAATTACCAGGAGGGATGGGGCAACTTCTTGTCGTGCGCGGTGCTCAAGTTCACAACGGTTTCCAGGCAAAACCCATACAGCGCTGTGAAACGCAGAGCCAGAGCTCTGACATCATGTGTAGCATGTTACTGTACAGCCACTACATTCCAATTTAGGAGCGTATTAGTGCCCAAATCTGCCATTTTCAACCCGTATATGGGTATGAGTGTAAAGAGTTAATTTGTATGCTGGTGACATGATGATCGGTGCTTAGCTGCCAATTGACAAATAAAAATTATCTAGCTTTTATTCATAATCTCATCATGTACCCTCTGCACCGTATTAATGAGCTGTTTTCTAGAGTACCTGTGCCAAGTGGGCACATTTTCTGTTTTTCGCATTACTTTTTATGCCAAATGGGATGGAAACACATAGAACTTCTGAAAGGTTTTTACGACAAAGTGCTTCTTATGTGCACTAAGTCATTACGCACAGCTCTTCATTCGTAACAAGCCAGTTTGATGGAAACACTGCTGCTGTTAAAATGCACACATTTCTTTGCTTGGTGTTAAAAGCTGTGGACTTTCTGTGCATTTCAGTCCAGGCTGCCATTAACGCAGCCCATTGAAAGGGAGAGAGTCGAAAGTTAGCTCTCTCTCTCTCTCTCTCTCTCTCTCTCTCTCTCTCTCTCTCTCTCTCTCTCTCTCTCTCTCTCTCAAGTGCTGACAAGGGTTGACAACTGACAGGCGACAGTGATCAAGGCCCCAGCTGTCTTTCTATTGGCCTTATCTCTTAAAATATGAATAAAGAGCGGCACTTTCATCATTTCAACTTAGATGAAAAAGATGTCACGTCAGCACAGCACAGATGTTGTCTTCTTCAAAAGTTATTGTTAGGATGGAGATGACTCTCTGACTCACTCACCCTTCTGGATGGGGTCCCCTGGCTGCCCAGGTCTCCCTGCACTTCCAAGTAAACATCAGTGGCTCCCGCAGAGCCTTTCAGATTGGGAAAGGTCCAGTTCTTGGTGGGGGGATTTTGCATATGAGCTCCGTAGGCATCTATGTCTGCATAAGAGCAAATTAAATTCAAAATGTAAAAAGAAAAGAGTGTAGCTCGGGTGTTTTGTTGAAGGTTTAAGCTTGTGTGAATAGTTGATCCAGTTTTAATGAGCCACAAAATATTGGTTTTGCAGGATTTATCATTATATTAACACAACTGATAAAATATGAACTTTCGCAACCATATCTAAACCATTTATGAAAAATGTCAGCATTGAAATGGTCTATATGGGAACACAACAAGTCCTATTGGAATACAAAGTCCAAGAGTCCAAGCTTACCTTCTTGGATGGTGCTGGACAGGTGCATGTTGGGACCTTTTCCCTCCAGCCCTGAGCCATACAGGACAAACGGGTTGACTTCGTCCAGAGATGACAGCTCTCTCTCCAGTGTACGGGCCTTACGCGGAACCTTCATCATGGCCCCATGTTTCCCCTGGGAGCAAGAAAACCCTTGCTCTCCCTGTGGCTTCCCCTTAGGGATGCTCTTCCCTGCCACGCTACTGGCATAGTCTGGCATGGGGAACGTGCCGATGCCACTGTCGAGGGTGCGCATGGAGGCCCCAGAACCTAAACAGTGAGGAAGGAACAATTAAGTAAGACTAGAGTCAGGGGCAGAGTTAGTCAAGGAAAATGGATGACTGACATTATTATGACTCAGCATCATGCTACTCTCACCTGTAAAGTGCTGAGAACTAATGGACTCTGCCAAGCTCTCGTCTGATGTGACCTCATCCTTGCCGATCATATCTGAACCCTGAACCAGCAAGGGTTAATGACAATCATATATACCACTGACACTACATGTGTAGTTTATTAATCTTTCTATAGTGTATCAGAGGAATACGACAGAGAGAAAATAGTTTACCCTGCTCTTGGTGTGGCTGATCCCGTTCCTCTGGTGACTGAAGTTGGGCCGCGACCTCTTAGAGTCAAAGGAGAGGCGTCTGTGTGCCATTCCAAAGGTGGTAGGTATAGCTCCCCTCTCGTCCACCCTGTTTCCAGAACAAGACGTCGAGGGACTTAAGAAGGAAGACGTTACAACAAACTCATAGGGGAACTAGCTTTCGACATTAAACTCTATTTACAAATCCAATTTGATAAGATATAATCATATGAGAAAGAGTTTATATCCCTCTGGCCAAGTTTGATAAATATCTTATGATCACAAATTTAGTACACTCATAGCCCCAGTCTAATATATCCTAGCCAGGGTTTGGATGTATTTAATTAATTCTCAGGTAAATCATCAGGTTATTTAAGAATACATATCATTTTTACCTGTTGAGGAGCTGCTGCATGAAGTTCTCTGCTGTCATTCCTCTGTACATGAGTGACAGTTGGCCCTGGGCCTGGTCCATCACCACCTCACAGGAGTGGCCTCTGCCAGAGCGGTCCATTCCGACCCTGTTCACATATGCCCGCTCCTCTTCCAGCGCCTTCCGCAGGTCCTCTGCCTTCTCCATCAGCTTGGAGATGTTCAGGCTCTCCACCACCTTCTGGGGACCACCTGTCTTTGGGTCCTTAGCCCCTCCGCCAGAGGCAGAGGATGACGAAAGAGAGGAGGACATGTTGATCTTGAGCTTGGACACTTCCGGTTTGCGGCTGAGGGCAGGGAGCTTGCTCTTCCTCAGGCCGAACCAGCTGGCAATGCCATTGGAGGCCTTCTGCTTTGGCTCGGCTGCCTGGCCCCGGTCCTGCTCCTGCAGCTTCAGCATGTTTTCCTCGATGCCGCGCATTACCTTTTGCTCAATGGCAGACTGGGGCACGGGTGGGCCAGACGAGTACGGCTTCTTGTCCTCTTTTGCGATGGCTTCAGTAGATGGCCGCGGTGGCAAAGGAGGAGGAGGCGGGAAGCTCTCTGCATGGACAAAGGTCTTCTTCTTGCCAGCTGTGAGCTTGGTTTTGTCCTCCGGCCGAAGTGGGTGTCTCTGAGCCAGGGCACGGTCCTCATGAATGGGTTTGACCCCTCTGGGGTAAGAGGAAGCCTGGCCGACCTTTGAAGGGGACTTTGACGGGACTTTAGTGGGGCTGTTTTGGGGGCTGGGGGCAGATTTACTGTGGTGGCTCTGGGTGATGGGGCATTTCCCATAGCTCCGCACCACTGGAGGAGTCTCTGTGTTGGAGGATGATGTGCCCATCTTGATCTTTGGACCCTCTGCTTTTGCTACATATATCCTGGGAGAAAACGGTGTCTCCTGCTCTCCCTTGGGTATCGATGATGGGGTAGCTGAAGATTTGGCGCCCGATTCATGTATTGGACCTGGCACCCTAGGGTGACTGCCGAGGCTGGTTTTGGGGTAGGGCTTCCCATCCAGGGAATCAGTGTATTTCTGATTTCTGTGCTGCTCTGCCCCAGTTCTCTCACCTTGCCTTTCAGCGGTCTTGCTTTTCTCAATATTGTTGGTGGGGGGTTTACCTACGTTACTTTGTGCATCCTTCTTGTCCACGGACTGTGCACCTACTGGCAAGTCCTCTGTGCTCTTCAGTTTTCCCAAAGCAGCCAGGCGCTCTTTGAAGGGGTGGTGACTGGACTCACTCTGGGGATTGCCCTGCACCAGTCTCTTGGGGGTGGAGTACCCAGGCGACAGGTCACCTCGCCTGGCTGCAGACTGGATTGGCTGGGCAGGTTCACAGTTCTCTTGGCTGGGCTCCAGAGTTGCCCGGACCTCCTGGTGCCTGTCCCTCATGCTGGAGTAGCTGGGGCGACTACTGTGTGCTTTACTGGCGGCGGAGGAGGACGAGGAGGGGAGGCTGAAGTGTTGGTTTGGCTTGTGCCAGACGGGGCTCTCTGAGTCAGTGTCCTGGTCAGAGAAGTCCTGGTCAGAGAAGTCCTGGTCAGCTGTACCTGGGGACGAGTCGGGGTACTGTGAAGACGAGGGGCTGCGGAGGTTCTCATCTTGCTGACGCTGCTTCTCTACAGGCCCCTCAGGTTGGGGGTAAGGGAGGTACTGGGACGTCTTAAGACCCTCCAGGAACTGGGGCGTCCCATCTGAGGGGCAGACATTCTCGTAGTGGGGCACCTTCTGAGAACCCCTTTGTGCATGAGGGGCGGTGGAGGGGGGTGCCTTTGTGCTGAGGCTGGGTTTGGGCGCAGAGTGGCTGCTGAAAGCAATTTCCTTGGCCATGGGAGTGGGGTCCGCACTGTCCTCTGGTTTGGGTGGGGAGGTGGGGGCGGAGTGCGTGGCAGGGTAGGGGTCTGTTTTGGAGGAGGATGAGGATGGCTGCTTCTCCCTCTCCGTGGTGGTGGCTTTGCGGGTCAGGGCGGGAGAGTGGTACACCTCATAGTTGATGTTGTTTCTGCAGGGGATCTTGGAGCTGCGGGTGAGCTGGGGACTTAAACGGAGGGGGTTGCCTGGTTGTGCCTGGTTGATCCCCGTAGGGATCTTCAGGAACTTGAGCAGCCGGGACGGGGAGGAGATAGGGGAGGGCTTGACTTCACCCAGACCTGAGGAGGGAGTGGTGGGGCTGAGTGCAAGCTTGCTCTTCCCAGAGGGAGGCAGGGCCTGAGCTGAGCTGGTCCTCTCAGGCACTGGGGCTGGAGAGTAAGACTCCACCGCCACCTTCTTGGAGACAGACGTCTCATTGGAGGAGAAGTAGAGCCCATTGCTGATCTGATCACTCACTTCCTGCTCCTCGGGATACCCTGGGTCTGTCTCCATGGCAACATGGTCTGTGTGTGAGGTAGAAGAGTGCAGGCTGTTGTTCACATTGTGTGCCGCTGCTGCCTCTACTTCCAGGTAGCAGCCCTCCTCTGGACTGTCCTCGTTCTGGCTCTGCGACGTTGCCATGACAGCCTTTATGTGCTTCACATCCTCTCCGTGAGAGGGCTGTACATCCGCCCGAGGCGGAGGAGGTTGTTTGCCGGACGGATGCTCATCTTTGTGTCTTTGTAACTTCCTCGGCTCCTCCCCTAGCATCCCGTTGAGGTTGGCTTGGATTAACGAGGAGAGGAAAGGATCAGAAGAACCCAGACCTTCTGGAGTGCGCTCTAGAGAGTCCAATGCTGTTTTGTGCATGTAGCACTGGTTTGTGCTGTCAGCAGAGAGGAGGTGGGGGAGAGCCGCTGCCTGGGGAGGGTCTGTCCTCTGTGCTGACGCCCCCTGGTCCTCTGCCCAGGCCTGCCCGTTAAGGATCTCCACTCTGGCCTGGTGTGAGGTACCATGGCCTTGGGCACACTTCAGCAGGCTGTCCAGGTTGCTCTTCTGGGAGAGTATGTGGCAGGACTGACAGCCCCCGTGTTGTTGTTGCTGATGCTGGGCATGGTCCTCCTGGAGAGCCCCTTCGCCATTGGCGTAATCGTGGATGTCCGAGTCAGAGCTGGAGTGGCGGCAGTGTGACGATGGGTGTGCCACCAGGCGCTGTGGGGCAGGTAACCCCCCAGAGGACATCAGGGACATCTGGTCTCTCTCCATGGAGACCAGCGCCTGGCCCAGGTCGTGGTGATGGGACAGGCAGGAGGAGGGGTGGAACTTGAGTGGGTCTGACTCCTCCAGCTTGCGCAGGACCTCTAGGATGTGTGCTTTCTTCTTGAAGAATGGAGACAGGGCCTCCATGGAGGTGGCAGGGGCCCGGGCCGAGCAGGCTGACCCGTTCTGTGTGCGGTCCTCATTGCTCTGCATAAACAAGGACATTAGGTTAGAAGTTTGTTACATCTTCATCAAACAACACAAACTAAGAACAACACTTCAAGTTAAGTACAGTACGGCTGCAAACTGAAGAAGTGCACACTGCCTCCAACATCTAACACATTGCGTGGAACAAGCTCCCCCACAACGCCTGGACAGCGGAGTCACTGACCACCTTTCGGAGACACTTGAAACCCTACCTCTTTAAGGAATACGTGGAATAGTATAAAGTAATCCTTCTACCCCCCCATAAAAATAAAAATAAAAAAGTGGTTGTCCCACTGGCTATCATAAGTTGAATGCACCAATTTGTAAGTCGCTCTGGATAAGAGCGTCTGCTAAATGATGTAAATGTAAATGTGCACAGTGCACCAGGAGTCATATGCATTGATTTCATGTTGACACTCGATTGTGGAGGTTCCTTTTTACTCTGGTTTTGCTTGGATACTTAATTACTTTTTGAGAGGGCCTGCAACTCATGTTTCAAATGAATATACTTGTTTCAAGTGAACTGTCCAAGTCACCAATGACTCTGTGTCACAGCAAAAGAGGACATGCTGAGAATTCTGAGCACCCTAGTCCTGACAGGGGGAGGAATAAATGAATGACAGATTGAGAAGGAGAGAAGAGTGGAGAGGCGACTGAAGCCACTTTGGTTACACATGGCCTGCCAACCTTAGGAAGCTGTCTTTATCTTTAATTAAAGATGCAATTAATTCTGTAATCAGTGAGAAAATGTATTCTGCTCTCTTCCGCCCTCCTCATCCCCTCTTCCTGGAAAGGTGCCAATTAGAGGTTGACACAGGAGTGAAAATTCATTCCTGTCCTGTCCATTCTTTTCCCGTACTATCCTAATCCCGCAACAGTTCTATAACCACAGAACGTTCCTGTCCCGTCCCGATAAAAATCACTCCTGTCCTGTGCAGAAATCACTTCCTCCATTAGCTGCTTGTTTGTCTCCGCTCTGAGTGTGGTTAGCCACCCAGCCTGCACATAACGTTCTGAGAACCATATGTTCCAAGAACATTAACAAAAAACGTTCTTCTGTGGGAATTTCAGTACTTCGAGAACGTTAAGAAAACTTTCCATAAAAACCACAATAAAACTTTTGTAAAGTTCAGAGAACGTTCTAAGAATGTTATTTAAAAACATATACTTTCCGTTCTCAGCATCAACAACACTCTCTATATCCTCTATCTTGTTAAGTGTGTTGTGGTGTGTTGGCTGTGCCCACTAATTGGCCACACCTGATCTTAATGAGTGCTTGTTTCCTTTGAAATGGGGTCCGTTTGAATAGACTAAAATGAACAGCTTTGTAAGGTAAAAAAAATGCTAGCTCCATCCTGGTGGCGCAGAGGACTAATTCCATGGATAGAGAACAGAAGATTACTTTTTCACAGAGGGGCATTGGGTGTTGCGTAACTTTGTTTATTAAATAAATTAAATAAGTATCACGTTTGTGTTATTTGTTCACTCAGGTTCCCTTTATCTAATATTAGATTTTGGTTGAAGATCTGATAACATTTAGTGTCAAAAATATATATATAAAAAAAGAAAATCATAAAGGGGGCAACCGCTATTTCACGGCACTGTATATACAATCTGGATGGGAACTGCACCTGGATCAGTGGAGCTAGGGGGAGTTGGGAGCGGTGCAGAGCTTAGCTGAAGATGTGGGGGTGGGGAGCTGAACTGTATTGGATTCAGTCAGTCAGTCAGTTAATACATTTATCTAGTCTACCCATGGTTCATTAAGACCACAGAGACTAGGGGCTGCTGCATTAGCTGGTTATCCAAAGCTCTGGAGAGAAGAAATAGCATATGGATTGAGATAAAGCAGCTCCCATTATCCCTGAGAGAGCCTTTATATTCCAAAGCAGCCTTTCAACAGTGGACTTCACGGGTTAGTGTTATGGGCTCACTAAAGGGGTACTGCATTAACTAGAAATTGACCCAAAATCTCCCCCTCATTACATTCTTGTTTAACACCCCAGGGATATATGAAGGGTATACAAAATGCAATCTGGAGACTATGGGATGATGGCTGGGTTGCTTTGAGACTTGGGCCAGAGAGAAACCACTGCCCAAGGAGGTCTGATGGAAATAAAGCCTCTCCCTCACAGAATTATGGAGGAGAGGAGACGGAGGGAGCGAAAGAAAGGAGTGCATAGGTTGAGTGTTTGTTCAGAGGGAAACAAAAATCTATATTCAATTTGACACCTCTGTCCCTGCCTGACAATTAAAACCAATCAGTTACCCTCAGTGTTGAAATGACTGGGTCTCTCTCTTTCCTTTCTTCCACTTGTTTCTCAGTCATTTGTCAGCAGGAGTCTAGTGCTGCTCATCGGGCAGCGATTACGGCTGCCTATTTTGAGAACATTACAGAGGGGCGCAGTGAGAGCCATTGTGGGTACTTAGGTGAGCTGAGGGGAAAAACAAGAGGAACTTTCACTGCAGAAAATTGAATGGTGGCGCTAGAACATTGAGCAAGCCAAGCCCCTTTAAATTATATGGATTTGTGGTTCAATTAATACTGGGAATGGGAATGTCGGACTTGGGTCACTGGGGGACCTCCTTGGAACACACAAGTATGAAAATCAACATTGTGATTACTAACAGCAGGGGTCCAACGCTGGTGAAGCACAGGTAAGCCAAATATGACTTTGCTGAGCTGCATAAGGTGGCACAGAGGGCTGACTGACATTGTGACAGTCTCCATTGTGATAGTGGAAAGGGGTTTACGATTGTCTTTGAGATCTGGGTTAAGGGTCACAGTCATAGAGATCCTATAATTCCAATTTATACGGTGCATTCGGGAAAGTATTCAGACCCCTTGACTTTTTCCACATTTTGATACGTTACAGCCTTATTCTAAAATGGATTAAATATAAAAAATATTCAGACCCTTTTGCTATGAGCTCAGGTGCATCCTGTTTCCATTGATCATCCTTGAGATGTTTCTACAACTTGATTTGAGACCACCTGTGGTAAATTCAATTGATTGGACATGATTTGGAAAGGCAAACACCTGTCTATACAAGGTCCCACAGTTGACAGTGCATGTCAGAGCAAAAACCAAGCCATGAGGTCGAAGGAATTGTCCGTAGAGCTCCGAGAGGATTGTGTCGAGGCACAGATCTGGGGACGGGTACCAAAACATTTCTGCAGCATTGAAGGTCCCCAAGAACACAGTGGCCTCCATCATTCCTAGAGCTGGTCGCCCGCAGCCTACTTGGAGTTTGACAAAAGGCACCTAAAGGACTCTCAGAACATGAGAAACAAGATTCTCTGGTCTGATGAAACCAAGATTGAACTCTTTGGTCTGAATGCCAAGCGTCACGTCTGGAGGAAACCTGGTACCATCCCTACGGTGAAGCATGGTGGTGGCAGCATCATGCTGTGGGGATGTTTTTCAGCGGCAGGGACTTGTAGACTAGTCAGGATCGAGGGACAGATGAACAGAGCAAAGTACAGAGAGATCCTTGATGAAAACCTGCTCCAGAGCGCTCAGGACCTCAGACTGGGGCGAAGGTTCACCTTCCAACAGGACAACGACCCTAAGCACAGAGCCAAGACAACGCAGGAGTGGCTTCAGGACAAGTCTCTGAATGTCCTTGAGTGGCCCAGCCAGAGCCTTGAACCAGATCGAACATCTCTGGAGAGACCTGAAAATAGCTGTACAGCGACACCCATCCAACCTGACAGAGCTTGAGAGGATCTGCAGAGAAGAATGGGAGAAACTCCCCAAATACAGGTGTGCCAAGCTTGTAGCGTTATACCTACAGTGGCTTGGGGAAGTATTCACCCCCCTTGGCATTTTTCCTATTTTGTTGCCTTACAACCTGGAATTAAATTGGATTTTTCGGGGGTTTGTATCATTTGATTTACACAACATGCCTACCACTTTGAAGATGCAAAATATTTTTTATTGTGAAACAAACAAGAAATAAGACAAAAAAACAGACAACTTGAGCGTGCGTAACTATTCACTATTCATTTTTGCCCATTCTTCAAGGCAAAACTACTCCAGCTCCTTCAAATTGGATGGGTTCCGCTGGTGTACAGCAATCTTTAAGTCATCCCACTGATTCTCAATTGGATTGAGGTCTGGGCTTTGACTAGGCCATTCCAAGACATTTAAATGTTTCCCCTTAAACCACTCAAGTGTTGCTTTGGCAGTATGCTTAGGGTCATTGTCCTGCTGGAAGGTCAACCTCCGTCCCAGTCTCAAATCTCTGGAAGACTGAAACAGGTTTCCCTCAAGAATTTCCCTGTATTTAGCACCATCCATCATTCCTTCAATTCTGACCAGTTTCCCAGTCCCTGCCGATGAAAAACATCCCCACAGCACGATGCTGCCACCACCATGCTTCACTGTGGGGATGGTGTTCACGGGGTGATGAGAGGTGTTGGGTTTGCGCCAGACATAGCATTTTCCTTGATGGCCAAAAAGCTCAATTTTAGTCTCATCTGACCAGAGTACCTTCTTCTGTATGTTTGGGGAGTCTCCCACATGCCTTTTGGCGAACACCAAACGTGTTGGCTTATTTTTTTCTTTAAGCAATGGCTTTTTTCTGGCTACTCTTCCGTAAAGCCCAGCTCTGTGGAGTGTACGGCTTAAAGTGGTCCTATGGACAGATACTCCAATCTCCGCTGTGGAGCTTTGCAGCTCCTTCAGGGTTATCTTTGGTCTCTTTGTTGCCTCTCTGATTAATGCCCTCCTTGCCTGGTCCGTGAGTTTTGGTGGGCGGCCCTCTCTTGGCAGGTTTGTTGTGGTGCCATATTCTTAAAACATTTTAATAATGGATTTAATGGTGCTCCGTGGGATGTTCAAAGTTTCTGATATTTTTTTATAACCCAACCCTGATCTGTACTTCTCCACAACTTTGTCCCTGACCTGTTTGGAGAGATCATTGGTCTTCATGGTGCCGCTTGCTTGGTGCCGCCCCTTGCTTAGTGGTGTTGCAGACTCTGGGGCCTTTCAGAACAGGTGTATATATACACTGAGATCATGTGACAGATCATCTGACACTTAAATAAAGTCCACCTGTGTGCAATCTAACTAATTATGTGACTTCTGACAGTAATTGATTGCACCAGATCTTATTTAGGGGCTTCATAGCAAAGGGGGTGAATACATATGCACGCACCACTTTTCAGTTATTTTTTTTTGGAAATATTTGCAACAAGTTATTTTTTTCATTTTACTTCACCAATTTGGACTATTTTGTGTATGTCCATTACATGAAATCCAAATAAAATTCCATTTAAATTACAGGTTTTAATGCAACAAAATAGGAAAAACGCCAAGGGGGTTGCATACTTTTGCAAGGCACTGTAAGAAGTATCGAGGCTATAATCCCTGCCAAAGGTGCTTCAACAAAGTACTGAGTAAAGGGTCTGAATACTTAGGTAAATGTAATATTTCCTTTTTTTATTTTTATAAAATTAGCTAAAATTCCTAAAAACCTGTTTTTGCTTTGTCATTATGGGGTATTGTGTGTAGATTGGTGAGAGAAAAAAACAATTTAATCAATTTTAGAATAAGGCTGTAATATAACAAAATGTGGAAAAAGTCAAGGGGTCTGAATACTTTCCGAATGCACTGTATGTGTTATACACTGAGTATTCAAAACATTAATAACTGACCAGAACTAACCAGGTGAATCCAGGTGAAAGCCATGATCCCTTATTGGTGTCACTTGTTAAATCCACTTCAAATCAGGACACAGGTTAAATAAATATTTTTAAGCCTTGAGACAATTGTGCCATTCAGAGGGTGAATGGGCAAGACAAAATATTTAAGTGCCTTTGAACAGAGTATGGTAGTAGGTGCCAGGCACACTGGTTTGTGTCAAGAATGCCAAGAGTGTGCAAAGCTGTCATCAAGGCAAAGGGCGGCTACTGAAGAAGAATATTTTTTTATTTAACACTTTTTTGGTTACTACATGAGTCCATGTGTTATGTCATAGTTTTGATGTCTTCACTATTATTATACAATGTAGAAAATAGTTTAAAAAATAAAGAAAAACCCTTGAATGAGTAGGTGTGTCCAAACTTTTGACTGGTACTGTACTTTCATAATTCCATGGTCAGTGAAGTTTTAGTTGGGGGTTAAGGTTTGTGTGTGGGTTAGCTGCTCACCTTGAGTTCCCCCTGATTTTGGGCCACCAGCAGCTTGTCACTGTCCATGGTCAGGGGCTCTGTGCTGTGCTCCGGGACAGACACCAACTGCCACTGGAATGGGAGATAACAGAGAAAGAGGAATGTCAGTAAGGGCACCATATTGACTATTGTCATTCTCTGCACCCTCTCCTGATTTCCTTTAACCTGCCTCCTAATACAGAGCGAAAATGGCATTACCGCAGCGGGCCAGCATCTTTACGTTCCTATCCTAGCGCTGAGTAATTAAATTGCTTCGGCATTGAGATGGCATCAGGTTTCCTTATAATATTCATCACAAAGAAAGGTGACGGCGGGGGAAGAGGCACTTACTCTGCATGCGAGGGGAGAAGGTTTTTTCCCCTCACAGGTAAGAGATGCAAAGAGAACGACTGAAGAATACAGAAAAATTGAGGCATGGGGAAGAAGGGAGGGAGGGAGGGAGTGGAGAAGGGGGTTGGGGGAGTTTGGGACAGTTTCCATTTCATTTACAGTAATAGAATGTGCCACTTTGCCCTCCTGTCAATTACAGGGTTATTTATTTTAGATTAAACGCTGTATTGATATTTCTGCAGCAGATTGCTTCTCTCTCTCTTATCCCCTCACTACCGTGGAGTGGTTGAAATACTAATAGAAGATAGAGGGAGTTGGTGTAAACAAACAGAGGTGAAAAAAGAGAGGGAGGGAGAGGGACAGAGATGGAGAGAAGTTGCGAGGGAGAGAGAGGTGCCAAGTGTCATACACTTCAAAGAAGAAGACAAATTATGACTAAGGTCACTGAACATCTTTATCAAAGACAAGACAATCTCTGCATCTGTTCTTTTGAAGCCAAATTCACGGAAACTTGAGAGTCGTTGTATAACCATCTCAGCAGGGGATTCTAAAACCCTGTACCATCACAATAGCGGTTTTGTCCTTGGTTTCTTTCAACAAGGCCGAAATGGATAGAGTAAGAGCTCCAAGGAGCTTTCAGGCTCCAAGCTATAGTCTGCTACAATTTATATTAGATATCAATTTGGGTAAAATAAATCCAAAAGAACAGCAAGGCATCATAGTCCTCATTGTGATATTTCAATCTCACATCTATCTGACTTTATATCAACATAGAATAGCTCACTACACGCCATGGAGGATATGTGATAGAGTTCTAAAACTAGCCTACACAACAGTTCTACATTTCACCTTGACAACAATCACCTAAGCAACAACAGCAATGAGATCAGTGTGACAGAGATGTGGGAGAACTTCTCATCTCCCTCCCAAATGAAAGCAGATTACCTCAGAAACACTGTTCTTATTAGGTAGTAAACAGAAACAGCATGACACATAGGACCATACTTTGATGGTGTTCTGAAACATCGATCTAATCATAATGAACAGGAGACAAGCAAGGCAGAAAATAGATTCTCCCTCTCCCCCAGTGGTTTAGATATGCATATTACACACACACGGGTAGAAATTAGTCTCTCCTATTTAATGGGATAGACATTATTTTCTCCGTGGGCATTTTGATGTGATGCGTGATAGAAAAAACTAACATTCAAATCCAAATTCTCATTAACAGCCCAACATGATCCGAGAGCCGACGGACAGACTTAAATCCATTCTTTGGTCACACTTTCAACAACAGTCTGTCAGTACTCATGACTAATACTCCTTTATCTTGTCACATTCATTCTAGTTTTGCAAAAATAAAGCAACTGAAACCAAATGAAAAGCTTGTTCATTTATGCGTAATTTCTAAATCATCACAGATAAATCAATTTCACACACACACACACACACACACACAGTACCTGTTGCAGACGGCTGGCCTGGGGGTGTAGTTTCTGGGCAAAGAGCTCAGTCAGGGTTCTGTTCTGTCTCTCCAGGTCAAACACACGCATCTTCAGCTTAATACACTCCTCCCGCAGGTCCTAGAACAAACACACACATAACACAAATCAACAAACCTTCACATTGACACACGCAGGCACGAACACACACACGCACACACTAAACTTGTTGTGTAAAATAACTGCTCATTAACTTGTTAGACTGTTGAGTCTGAACGTCAGTGATCTAGCACCATGTCTTACCTTTTGATTCAGAAGGGCCTGTACCACGTGGTTGGCCACCTGAAAAAAAATAGAATAAAAGTTACATCTTTACTACAGTCTTTGGTCACAAATGGAGAATGATTTGAGTCTTAAGAGTAGTAAGAGTAGTAATCTTAGCAGTGTATAAAAGCTGAGACAACTTATGTAGTGGGTACAGAGACAGACAGAACATATAGAGAAGGAGAAGGTCACACTATGAAAACTCACCTCATCCAGACACCTTTCATAGGCCTCTCTCTGGCTTTCATTCGCAAGGGCCAGTGCTGAATTCTCAGCCTACAAAGGAGAGAGAAAGGACAGAGAAAGGAGAGAAAAGAGAGAGAGCGAGAGACCAATTACATACATCTATCGAAAGCATAAATTTGACAACAAAGATCAACCTCGGGAGATTAATCCCCACCCGTCTCATATGATCACAGTGCATTTCAATGTCTACACTTAGAAGAGCAAGCTTCTTTGTGGCCGAGAATGAACAAATCAGTTGATTTCACAATTGTCCCCATGGAGAATTTGACAGTGCGAATGAATAGACAAAAGAGCAAAATATTCGGTAGATCTCCAAATGGGTTTGATACATCTGAACAAGGATAATTTATTTTAATTGTATTATTCTCCTTGCTGTAATAGGTGCAGACTGGTGAACTCATTAAAAAGAGAATCCGGCCAGTGTCTTATTCGCCATGATCAAAAGCAGGAACGTGTCACCACAGCAACGATGAAATCAAAGATCTGATAGGGGGGACTGAAACGAAGGGGGGGGGGAGAGCGATTCTGAAAGATTGAAATAATTAAATAGGAGGGAAACAGAGACAAGCTGGAGAGAGTTAGTAGGAGGAAAGAAGATAAGGGAAAATAAAAAAGAGAAAGCACAACAGGCTGATTAGAATAAAAAAGGAATGAGGCATTAGAGGGAGAGAAGGTGCGAAATAAGAAATAAATGTCTCCATAGAAACAGAGGCACCTAAGCCACCAGTGGTTGCAGATCAAAACAGCAGTCACACATTTAATGCTCCCTCTACAGTGCGTCACAGAAGCTGTGATGGGCCCAAGTGTTCAATGATCAGGGAATGGTGGATGGTGATTGTCACGCCCTGTTTCTGGGGACTCTTTTATGTTGAGCCAGGGTGTTAGTTTCTTTGTATAGTGTCTATGTTTCGTTTCATATGTTCTGTTCTAGGTTATGTGTTTCTATGTTGGCCGGGGTGGTTCTCAATCAGAGGCAACGAGAATCAGCTGTTGCTTGTTGTCTCTGATTGGGAACCATACTTAGGCAGCCTTTTGTGCACTTGTGATTCGTGGGATCTTGTTCCGTGTAGGTTGTGTTTTGTTAACCGAGGACTTCACGTATCGTTTGTTGTTTTGTGGTGTTATTGTGTTGCTTAGGACTCTATTAAAGAAGATGTACGCATATCACGCTGCGCCTTGGTCTACTCATTATGACGATCGTGACAGTGAGATGAAAAGGAAGACAGGAGTAGGGCTGTTGCGGTGACCGTATTACCGCCACACAGGTGGTCACGAGTCATGAAGGAAGTCAAATTCCATGTGACTGTTTAGTCACGGTAATTAGGCTTCTCCAAGCTCTGATGTTGCTGATGGTCATTAGTAGCATACCAAACTTGCTAACTGCCTGGTACTCAGCACTCTATTGTCCCTCTAATCACTCTGACATCAATGCAAATGTGTTCGAAAATCTAATCAAACACTTCATTAGAGCCCAAGAGATCATGTTGTGCAACATTTTCATGTAGACTTGATTGTGTGTTTTGGATCATTGTCTTGCTGCATGACCCAGATGCGCTTCAGCTTCAGTTCACAGACGGATGGTCTGACATTCTCCTGTAGAATTCTCTGATACAGAGCAGAATTCATGGTTCCTTCTATTAAGGCAAGTCGTCCAGGTCCTGAGGCAGCAAAGCATCACACCACCACCACCATGCTTAACCTTTGGTTTGATGTTCTAACTGTGGAATGCAGTGTTTGGTTTTCGCCAGGCATAATGGGACCCATCTCGTCCAAAAAGTTGACTCAAGTTTGCCAAAAAGCACCTGGATGATCATTAAGACTCTTGGAAGAACGTTATATGGACAGATGATTCAAAAGTATAACATTTTGGACGACATGGTTCCAGTAATGCCTGGCGAAAATGCACTGGTCCCCCGTGGGAAACGAACCCACAACCCTGGCGTTGCAAACGCCATGCTCTACCAACTGAGCTACACGGGACTACAACAGGAGTATAGCCTACCTGGCTGGCATGAAAATCAACCACGGGAAAAGCGTCCTCCATTCGCTATATAAGTGCATAGATGACATGTCTTTTTTTCCCGCTGCCCCTGTTTCGAGACAGGTGCATGATAATGGTCCATTCTAAATCAAAACAAATTTCACACATATATTATTTAGTATATGTAAAGATTAAATCAAGAATAGTCTGATGGGTGACAACATTAGCCTATCACTTGTGAATGATATATTATCACTTGTGAAGGATGCCCAGCATAAGAAACTGCCTTTATTTTGCGACTTTTCAAATCATAGTCGCACACCTCATGTAGCCTAGCCCATAGGCCTGTATGTTTTGATAAGGTTTGTATCACAACTAAAGTGGCCAAATAACTTAAAATTAAGCACATTAATCCGCTTTAGAGCCTAACTGGCATACATAAGCAGTGGGGGAGTTTCAAGTTTGGGGAAGATAATTTTCACCATAAAAATGCACCTTTATAATAAAAGCATCACATGCATAATCGCATTTGCAATCACTTTTGATAATGGTGTTTTCCCGCTAATGGAACATTCGTGCTTATAGCCTACTGCCATGTGCCCTTTGCTGCGCTTATAATGTGAAGAAATAGCCTAATAGTTTATCAACATTTTAAGCTAAATGTTCTGATCTGTTGCTTCAGCCACAAGGTTTTTTGATGCTAGTGGTTGTATTAATTTGGGATATATTGCATCCCACAACTGTCCCAGACTATGTTTGGAATAATTATTTCTCGCACAGAATAGGTCGACTTTTGTACTATGGGGGATAGTAGATTGACATAGTCTATTGCTTTTGCTGTTTGTTAGGCCTACTCATCTTGTTGGCTGACGAAAATTAAAATGTGGACAATTCTTCCAATATCTTTAATATGCACCTTGGAATTGGATAAGGACGCACACAGTTGCGTCCCCGATGTGCTTGTCTTCACTTGTAACCTGTGAGAAAGACCCGATCACGTGATGGGAGAAGGGCACAACGGCCACTGGCCGCAAAAGGCATGGATTTTTTTAGGGTGCATTACGGTCACAAAGGGGATGCCGCCTTGAATCAAGTGCTTGTCAAATTGTGAATGAGAGACTAATGAAGTGTGTACAGCCTGCGCAAAAAACAAAGCATAGATCATGCCTTTCAAGCGACTTTTTTCAAATCATCATTAGAGTCGCATTATGCAGCCTTAAAATGTATTAAAAATCAAAACATATAGCCCAAAGTTTGTAGAACAACTAAAGTAACATTAATAACTCTAAATTAAGCATATAGGAGTACCTATTTCTTTGTTAACTGCTCAACACAGAATAGCCGCATGTGCGCACTCCCTCAAATCTTTTGGAGAAAATATGTATATTTTATTCAGCTTTGTTCAATTGTATTCTTTATACTATAAAATAATGCCATGGAATTCTAAGCAAATCTTGTCTGCTAAATGAACCAGTGTAGCTAGCACACAGCCATTTGGCATAGCCAGATCACGACCTAACATAAGGACAACACAGAATATGCTATTCTGTTCTTCTGAAATAGACTACATTTTTTATTAGACTTTTTTAAATGGTACATCATTTTCTTTAGGAGTGAAGTAAAAGTAAAAAAAAAAAAAGTTAAGTAAAGATACTTTATTGCTACGCAACCAAGGTTGGTGGTATTTGTTTACGGTACTGTACGGTAGCTCTGAAGTGACTAATATACATATATACCCCAGTCTCACTTCATACAACAAACACTCACCCACATTAATTTAACGTACAGTGGGGGAAAAAAGTATTTAGTCAGCCACCAATTGTGCAAGTTCTCCCACTTAAAAAGATGAGAGAGGCCTGTAATTTTCATCATAGGTACACGTCAACTATGACAGACAAAATGAGGAAAATAAATCCAGAAAATCACATTGTAGGATTTTTAATGAATTTATTTGCAAATTATGGTGGAAAATAAGTATTTGGTCAATAACAAAAGTTTCTCAATACTTTGTTATATACCCTTTGTTGGCAATGACACAGGTCAAACGTTTTCTGTAAGTCTTCACAAGGTTTTCACACACTGTTGCTGGTATTTTGGCCCATTCCTCCATGCAGATCTCCTCTAGAGCAGTGATGTTTTGGGGCTGTCGCTGGGCAACACGGACATTCAACTCCCTCCAAAGATTTTCTATGGGGTTGAGATCTGGAGACTGGCTAGGCCACTCCAGGACCTTGAAATGCTTCTTACGAAGCCACTCCTTCGTTGCCCGGGCGGTGTGTTTGGGTCATTGTCATGCTGAAAGACCCAGCCACGTTTCATCTTCAATGCCCTTGCTGATGGAAGGAGGTTTTCACTCAAAATCTCACGATACATGGCCCCATTCATTCTTTCCTTCACACAGATCAGTTGTCCTGGTCCCTTTGCAGAAAAACAGCCCCAAAGCACGATGTTTCCACCCCCATGCTTCACAGTAGGTATGGTGTTCTTTGGATGCAACTCAGCATTCTTTGTCCTCCAAACACGACGAGTTGAGTTTTTACCAAAAAGTTCTATTTTGGTTTCATCTGACCATATGACATTCTCCCAATCCTCTTCTGGATCATGTACTGGCTTAAGCAGGGGGACACGTCTGGCACTGCAGGATTTGAGTCCCTGGCGACGTAGTGTGTTACTGATGGTAGGCTTTGTTACTTTGGTCCCAGCTCTCTGCAGGCCATTCACTAGGTCCCCCCGTATGGTTCTGGGATTTTTGCTCACCGTTCTTGTGATCATTTTGACCCCACGGAGTGAGATCTTGCGTGGAGCCCCAGATCGAGGGAGATTATCAGTGGTCTTGTATGTCTTCCATTTCCTAATAATTGCTCCCACAGTTGATTTCTTCAAACCAAGCTGCTTACCTATTGCAGATTCAGTCTTCCCAGCCTGGTGCAGGTCTACAATTTTGTTTCTGGTGTCCTTTGACAGCTCTTTGGTCTTGGCCATAGTGGAGTTTGGAGTGTGACTGTTTGAGGTTGTGGACAGGTGTCTTTTATACTGATAACAAGTTCAAACAGGTGCCATTAATACAGGTAACGAGTGGAGGACAGAGGAGCCTCTTAAAGAAGAAGTTACAGGTCTGTGAGAGCCAGAAATCTTGCTTGTTTGTTGGTGACCAAATACTTATTTTCCACCATAATTTGCAAATAAATTCATTAATGAATTTATTTGCAAATTATGGTGGAAAATAAGTATTTGGTCACCTACAAACAAGCAAGATTTCTGGCTCTCACAGACCTGTAACTTCTTCTTTAAGAGGATCCTCTGTACAATGTGATTTTCTGGATTTTTTTTCTCAATTTGTCTGTCATAGTTGACGTGTACCTATGATGAAAATTACAGGCCTCTCTCATCTTTTTAAGTGGGAGAACTTGCACAATTGGTGGCTGACTAAATACTTTTTTCCCCCACTGTATACCACAGGTGGTTGGTGGCACCTTAATTGTGGAGGACAGGCTCGTGGTAATGGCTGGAGCGGAATGAGTGGAATTGTATCAAATACATCAAACACATGGTTTCCATTTCATTTGCTCCGTTCCAGCAATTATTATGAGCCGTCCTCCCTCAGCAGCAGGATTTACATTCACAAATGTGTGCCAAGCAGCTAGAATAGCATCACCACAATTCATAAATATCAATAATCCATAAAGTCCATAAATCCATAAAGTGCAGGATCCCTGGAGTAGTGGGTGGGGGGCTAGTGAAGGGAGTTCAAGGTTCTGACTGCTGCGGAGGGGAAAAACTGTTTTAAAAACGTTCAGTTTTGGTGGTCATTGACCTGTAGCGCCTACCAAGTCATTGTATAATCAATGTATAATCTTATTGAGATTTGGTTCTGCCTCTGATTTGAGCGTGGTGGAGCCATCAGTGAGCAGAACAAGATGATCACAATAAATATAATTACAGAGATATTACCCAGAGACACTCCAGCACGGGAAAGAGACGCAGCAGCAATTACAGCCTGATTCACACATCAATACGCCGCTGCGCTGTGTATACAATAGGGACAGTGAGAGAGTGTGACATTTTGTGAAGGTTTCATCTTCGTAGAGTGTGTGTATGGATTTGACTTTCTCTGTGTGTGTGTGTGTGTGTGTGTATGTGTGTTTATGTGTGTTCATGTATGTGTGTGTTTGTGACCCTAATGTCACGTCTGAAACTCAATCTGTCGCTCAACTACCCAACCTGAGAGCAATACGTGTATTAAGTCTCAATGGTGTCGTCTATACAAAGTGTGGGCTGGCTGACATGAAAAGAAGGCAGAGGACTGTCACCTGATTCTGCAACATATAAGTGTTGGAGGGCCTCAACCAAGGGAATTTAACCACAGTAACAGTAAGAGCCCTCTCCATCACAGTGGCATGATTATAAACACTAAACACTGTTTTCAAGCAGGTGCTCTGAGAATAAGTGTTTTAAAGCACTTTCTTTCCCACCTCTCATTCTCCCACTAGGGCTCAGGAGATGAGGGCCGGGAGAGCTGGGAGACTTTAAGGTGTTGTGAAAACTTTTAAAGTGCTGTAAGGGTCCATTGTGCTGCGTTAGGAGAATTACAAATATTCCATTTTATTTGGAACGGCAAGCCAGACAAAATTAAACGGGCCTACTTATATAATGAATATGAATTCTGAGGGCAGAAATTATTAAATATTAAAGCATTAGACCTCTTACTAAAGGCTTCAAATCATACAATAGTTATACTTAAATTCGAACTGGTTCTCTAGCAGATTAGTAAGAATGTCTCACCGCATGTTCAAGAATGGCCTTTTTCCCTTTATTCTGATTACAACCTCTCACTTTCGGTTATTTGAAAATGAAATCATCTGCAAAATATCTAGATTTTTAAAACAAGAACATTGGTTGCAATTTTAGTTTAATCCACCAGAAAAGACAGAACATATAATACAACTAATAGTGAGGTTAATTGATAAAAAAAAGTATATATAAATTATATCATAAATAGGACTGGTTGAGTTATGTCACACTTGCAGCTAACAAAAATATATGGACATTTCTGCATTACCCAAACTTACAACCAACTAATTGCAGCATTACCGCAAAATAGAAGAGTCAAGTGGAATGGGGAAAAAGTAAGGAACTTGTCTGTCGGCCCTGCATTAAAGACCAAAATTGGTTAAAGACAATTGTGCGACATAGATTGCAAAATAGTTGGGAAGAGATTTTCAATGTAGCGATTCCATGGCTGAATTTAAATTATTATACAAAATTATTGCAACCAAAAGAATGTTAAATATATGGGGGATGTGATTTTGCTGCAAAGAGACAAAATCATTAGATCATTTGTTTTGGTACTGTCCATATGTAGCTTGTTTTTGGTCGCAGGTCCAGAAATGGCTGAAGAATTGCAACATTTACCTGGAGCTAACTCTGCAAAAAGCACTGCTGGGTGATTAGAAAAGTCATAGTCAATCGACCAATAATATAATAATATTTTTGGCAAAAATTGTATCTTTAATTTACAATCTGTAGAAACTATGAGAATAGAAAGGTTCTGAACTTTTGTGAAACATCACAGCACAGTTGAAAAATATATAGCAAATGGAGAAAAAAAAATGGATGGTGTTAAGAGATGGTTCAGTGGAGCTGAAGGGTGGGACTACAAACAACAAGATAACTAATGTAAAATATACTGCGTCCATAAAATGTATATAGGTTCAGAACTTTCGTGAAACAGCAGAGTTAAAAATATATGGCAAATAGAAATCAAACTAGTGGTCTTCAGAGATAGATGGGAGGGGTTGAGGAAAGCTGAAGGATGAGACTAAAAACAAACAAAAGATAACTATTGTAAAATACATGATGTCAGTAAAATGTATATAGTACAGGGAGGGAAAAAAGTATTTGATCCCCTGCTGATTTGGTATGTTTGCCCACTGACAAAGAAATGATCAGTCTATCATTTTAATTGTAGGTTTATTTGAACAGTGAGAGACAGAATAGCAACAAAAAAATCCAGAAAAACGCATGTCAAAAATGTTAGAAATTGATTTGCATTTTAATGAGGGAAATAAGTATTTGACCCCCTCTCAATCAGAAAGATTTCTGGCTCCCAGGTGTCTTTTATACAGGTAACAAAATGAGATTAGGAGCACACTCTTAAAGGGAGTGCTCCTAATCTCAGCTTGTTACCTGTATAAAAGACACCTGTCCACAGAAGCAATCAATCAATCAGATTCCAAACTCTCCACCATGGCCATGACCAAAGAGCTCTCCAAGGATGTCAGAGACAAGATTGTAGACTTACACAAGGCTGGAATGGGCTACAAGACCATCGCCAAGCAGCTTGGTGAGAAGGTGACAACAGTTGGTGCGATTATTCGCAAATGGAAGAAACACAAAAGAACTGTCAATCTCCCTCAGCCTGGGGCTCCATGCAAGATCTCACCTCGTGGAGTTGCAATGATCATGAGAACGGTGAGGAATCAGCCCAGAACTACACGGCAGGATCTTGTCAATGATCTCAAGGCAGCTGGGACCATAGTCACCAAGAAAACAATTGGTAACACACTACGCCGTGAAGGACTGAAATCCTGCAGCGCCCGCAAGGTCCCCCTGCTCAAGAAAGCACATATACAGGGCCGTCTGAAGTTTGCCAATTAACATCTGAATGATTCAGAGGAGAACTGGGTGAAAGTGTTGTGGTCAAATGAGACCAAAATGGAGCTCTTTGGCATCAACTTAACTCGCCGTGTTTGGAGGAGGAGGAATGCTACCTATGACCCCAAGAACACCATCCCCACAGTCAAACATGGAGGTGGAAACATTATGCTTTGGGGGTGTTTTCTGCTAAGGGGACAGGACAACTTCACCGCATCAAAGGGACGATGGACGGGGCCATGTACCGTCAAATCTTGGGTGAGAACCTCCTTCCTTCAACCAGGGCATTGAAAATGGGTCGTGGATGGGTATTCCAGCATGACAATGACCCAAAACACACGGTCAAGGCAACAAAGGAGTGGCTCAAGAAGAAGCACATTAAGGTCCTGGAGTGGCCTAGCCAGTCTCCAGACCTTAATCCCATAGAAAATCTGTGGAGGTAGCTGAAGGTTCGAGTTGCCAAAAAAAAGAAGTGTTTTTCTGGATTTTTTTGTTGTTATTCTGTCTCTCACTGTTCAAATAAACCTACCATTAAAATTATAGACTGATCATGTCTTTGTCAGTGGGCAAACGTACAAAATCAGCAGGGGATCAAATACTTTTTTCCCCTCACTGTATATTTGAACAGTGAGAGACAGAATAACAACAAAAAAATCCAGAAAAACGCATGTCAAAAATGTTATAAATTGATTTGCATTTTAATGAGGGAAATAAGTATTTGACCCCTCTGCAAAACATGACTTAGTACTTGGTGGCAAAACCCTTGTTGGCAATCACAAAGGTCAGACGTTTGCACACATCTCAGGAGGGATTTTGTTCCACTCCTCTTTGCAGATCTTCTCCAAGTCATTAAGGTTTTGAGGCTGACATTTGGCAACTCGAACCTTCAGCTCCCTCCACAGATTTTCTATGGGATTAAGGTCTGGAGACTGGCTAGGCCACTCCAGGACCTTAATGTGCTTCTTCTTGAGCCACTCCTTTGTTGCCTTGGCCGTGTGTTTTGGGTCATTGTCATGCTGGAATACCCATCCACGACCCATTTTCAATGCCCTGGCTGAGGGAAGGAGGTTCTCACCCAAGATTTGACGGTACATGGCCCCGTCCATCGTCCCTTTGATGCGGTGAAGTTGTCCTGTCCCCTTAGCAGAAAAACACCCCCAAAGCATAATGTTTCCACCTCCATGTTTGACGGTGGGGATGGTGTGCTTGGGATCATAGGCAGCATTCCTCCTCCTCCAAACACGGCGAGTTGAATTGATGCCAAAGAGCTCGATTTTGGTCTCATCTGACCACAACACTTTCACCCAGTTCTCCTCTGAATCATTCAGATGTTCATTGGCAAACTTCAGACAGCCCTGTATATGTGCTTTCTTGAGCAGGGGGACCTTGCAGGCGCTACAGGATTTCAGTCCTTCATGGCGTAGTGTGTTACCAATTGTTTTCTTGGTGACTATGGTCCCAGCTGCCTTGAGATCATTGACAAGATCCTCCCGTGTAGTTCTGGGCTGATTCCTCACCGTTCTCATGATCATTGCAACTCCACGAGGTGAGATATTGCATGGAGCCCCAGGCCGAGGGAGATTGACAGGTCTTTTGTGTTTCTTCCATTTGCGAATAATCGCACCAACTGTTGTTACCTTCTCACCAAGCTGCTTGGCGATGGTCTTGTAGCCCATTCTAGCCTTGTGTAGGTCTACAATCTTGTCCCTGACATCCTTGGAGAGCTCTTTGGTCTTGGCCATGGTGGAGAGTTTGGAATCTGATTGATTGATTGCTTCTGTGGACAGGTGTCTTTTATACAGATAACAAACTGAGATTAGGAGCACTCCCTTTAAGAGTGTGCTCCTAATCTCAGCTCGTTACCTGTATAAAAGACACCTGGGAGCCAGAAATCTTTCTGATTGAGAGGGGGTCAAATACTTATTTCCCTCATTAAAATGCAAATCAATTTCTAACATCTTTGACATGCGTTTTTCTGGATTTTTGTTGATTTTTATATATAATGATCAATTTTCTGCTGCAATCTTCAGTTGGCTCCTCTTTTCTATATTAAGAGGCTTTAAAGTTATACATTTAATATAATGCTTATTTCATTGAGAATGTACACTACCAGTCAAAAGTTTGGACACACCTACTCATTCCAGGGTTTTTCTTAATTTTTACTATTTTTTACATTGTAGAATAATATTGAAGACATCAAAACTATGAAATAACACATATGGAATCATGTAGTAACCAAAAAAGTGTTAAACAAATCAAAATATATTTTATATTTGAGATTCTTCAAATAGCCACTGTTTGCCTTGATGACAGCTTTGCACACGCTTGGCATTCTCTCAACCAGCTTCATAAGGTAGTCACCTGGAATGCATTTCAATTAACAGTTGTGCCTTCTTAAAAGTTAATTTGTGGAATATCTTTCCTTCTTAATGCGTTTGAGCCAATCAGTTGTGTTGTGACATATACAGTGGGGAGAACAAGTATTTGATACACTGCCGATTTTGCAGGTTTTCCTACTTACAAAGCATGTAGAGGTCTGTAATTTTTATCATAGGTACTCTTCAACTGTGAGAGACAGAAACTAAAACACAAATCCAGAAAATCACATTGCATGATTTTTAAGTAATTAATTTGCATTTTATTGCATGACATAAGTATTTGATCACCTACCAACCAGTAAGAATTCCGGCTCTCACAGACCTGTTAGTTTTTCTTTAAGAAGCCCTCCTGTTCTCCACTCATTACCTGTATTAACTGCACCTGTTTGAACTCGTTACCTTTATAAAAGACACATGTCCACACACTCAATCAAACAGACTCCAACCTCTCCACAATGGCCAAGACCAGAGAGCCGTGTAAGGACATCAGGGATAAAATTGTAGACCCGCACAAGGCTGGGATGGGCTACAGGACAATAGGCAAGCAGCTTGGTGAGAAGGCAACAACTGTTGGCGCAATTATTAGAAAATGGAAGAAGTTCAAGATGATGGTCAATTACCCTCGGTCTGGGGCTCCATGCAAGATCTCACCTCGTGGGGCATCAATGATCATGAGGAAGGTGAGGGATCAGCCCAGAACTACACGGCAGGACCTGGTCAATGACCTGAAGAGAGCTGGGACCACAGTCTCAAAGAAAACCATTAGTAACACACTACGCCTTCATGGATTAAAATCCTGCAGCGCACGCAAGGTCCCCCTGCTCAAGCCAGTGCATGTCCAGGCCCGTCTGAAGCTTGCCAATGACCATCTGGATGATCCAGAGGAGGAATGGGAGAAGGTCATGTGGTCTGATGAGACAAAAATATAGCTTTTTGGTCTAAACTCCACTCGCCGTGTTTGGAGGAAGAAGGATGAGTACAACCCCAAGAACACCATCCCAACCGTGAAACATGGAGGTGGAAACATCATTCTTTGGGGATGCTTTTCTGCAAAGGGGACAGGACGACTGCACCGTATTGAGGGGAGGATGGATGGGGCCATGTATCGCGAGATCTTGGCCAACAACCTCCTTCCCTCAGTAAGAGCATTGAAGATGGGTCGTGGCTGGGTCTTCCAGCATGACATCGACCCGAAACACACAGCCAGGGCAACTAAGGAGTGGCTCCGTAAGAAGCATCTCAAGGTCCTGGAGTGGCCTAGCCAGTCTCCAGACCTGAACCCAATAGAAAATCTTTGGAGGGAGCTGAAAGTCTGTATTGCCCAGCGACAGCCCCGAAACCTGAAGGATCTGGAGAAGGTCTGTATGGAGGAGTGGGCCAAAATCCCTGCTTTAGTGTATACAAACCTGGTCAAGACCTACTGGAAACGTATGATCTCTGTAATTGCAAACAAAGGTTTCTGTACCAAATATTAAGTTCAGCTTTTCTGATGTATCAAATACTTATGTCATGCAATAAAATGCAAATTAATTACTTAAAAATCATACAATGTGATTTTCTGGATTTTTGTTTTAGATTCCGTCTCTCACAGTTGAAGTGTACCTATGATAACAATTACAGACCTCTACATGCTTTGTAAGTAGGAAAACCTGCAAAATCGGCAGTGTATCAAATACTTGTTCTCCCCACTGTATATACAGAAGATTGCCCTATTTGGTAAAAGAACAAGTCTAAATTATGGCAAGAACAGCTCAAATACGCAAAGAGAAACAACAGTCCATCATTACTTTAAGACATGAAGGTCAGTCAATATAGAACATTTCAAGAACTTTTAAAGTTTCTTCAAGTGCAGTCGCAAAAACCATCAAGCGCTATGATGAAACTGGCTCTCATGAGGACCGCCACAGGAATGGAAGACCCAGAGTTACCTCTGCTGCAGAGGATAAGTTCATTAGAGTTACCAGCCTCAGAAAATGCAGCCCAAATAAATGCTTTACAGAGTTCAAGTAACAGACACAACTCAACATCAACTGTTCAGAGGAGACTGTGTGGTCAAATTGCTGCAAAGAAACCACTACTAAAGGACACCAAAAAGAAGAAGAGACTTGCTTGGGCCAAGAAACACGAGCAATGGACATTAGACCGGTGGAAATGTGTCCTTTGGTCTGTAGTCCAAATTGGAGATTTTTGGTTCCAACCGCCGTGGCTTTGTGAGATGCAGTGTGAACGGATGATCTCCGCATGTGTATTTTCCACCATAAAGCATGGAGGAGGAGGTGTTATGGTGTGGGGGTGCTTTGCTGGTGACACGGTCTGTGATTTATTTAGAATTCAAGGCACACTTAACCAGCATGGTTACCACAGCATTCTGCAGCGCTACGCCATCCCATCTGGTTTGGGCTTAATGGGACTATTATTTGTTTTTCAACAGGACAATGACCCATCACACCTACAGGCTGTGTAAGGGCTATTTTACCAAGAAGGAGAGTGATGGAGTGCTGCATCAGATGACCTGGCCTCCACAATCCCCCGACCTCAACCCAATTGAGATGTTTTGCGATGAGTCGGACCGCAGAGTAAAGGAAAAGCAGCCAACAAGTGCTCAGCATATGTGGGAACTCCTTCAAGACTGTTGGAAAAGTGTTTTTTTAAACACTTTTTTGGTTACTACATGATTCCATATGTGTTATTTCATAGTTCTGATGTCTTCACTATTATTCTAGAAAATAGTAAAAATAAAGTAAAAACCCTTGAATTAATAGGTCTGTCCAAACTTTTCACTGGTACTGTATATATATATATATATATATATATATATACACAGTGCATTCGGAAAGTATTCTGACCCCTTGACTTTTTCCATATTTTGTTACGTTACAGCCATATTCTAAAATGGATAACATTGTTTTCTTCCCTCATCAATCTACACACAATACCCCATAATGACAATGCAAAAACAGGTTGTTAGAAACTGAAATATCACATTTACATAAGTATTCAGACCTTGTACTCAGTACTTTGTTGAAGCACCTTTGGCAGAGATTACAGTCTTGAGACTTCTTGGGTATGACGCTACAAGCTTGGCACACCTGTATTTTGGGGGAGTTACTCCCATTCTTCTCTGCAGATCCTCTCAAGCTTTGTCAGGTTGGATAGGGAGCGTCGCTGCACAGCTATTTTCAGGTCTCTTCAGAGATATTAGATCGGGTTCAAGTCCGGGCTCTGGCTGGGCCACTCAAGGACATTCAGAGACTTGTCCCGAAGCCACTCCTGCGTTGTCTTGGCTGTGTGCTTAGGGTCGTTGTCCTGTTGGAAGGTGAACCTTCACCGCAGTCTGAGGTCCTGAGCACTCTGGAGCAGGTTTTCATCAAGGATCTCTCTGTCCTTTGCTCCATTCATCTTTCCCTTGATCCTGACTAGTCTCACAGTCCCTGCCACTGAAAGACATCCCCACAGCATGATGCTGCCACCACCATGCTTCACCGTAGGGATGGTGCCAGGTTTCCTCCAGACGTGACGCTTGGCATTCAGGCCAAATATTTAAATCTTGGTTTCATCAGACCAGAGAATCTTGTTTCTCATGGTCAGAGTCCTTTAGGTGCCTTTTTGCAAACTCCAAGTAGGCTGTCATATGCCTTTTACTGAGGAGTGGCTTCCGTCTGGCCACTCTATCACAAAGGCCTGAATGGTGGAGTGCTGCAGAGATTGTTGTCCTTCTGGAAGGTTCTCCCATCTCCACAGAGGAACTCAGGAGCTCTGTCAAAGTGAACATCGTGTTCTTGGTCACCTCCCTGACCAAGGCCCTTCTCCCACGATTGCTCAGTTTGACCGGGCGACCAGCTCTAGGAAGAGTCTTGGTGGTTCCAAACTTCTTCCATTTAAGAATGATGGAGGCCACTGTGTTCTTGGGGACCTTCAATGCTGCAGAAATGTTTTGGTACCATTCCCCAGATCAGTGCCTCGACACAATCCTGTCTTGGAGCTCTACAGACAATTTCTTCAACCTCATGGCTTGGTTTTTGCTCTGACATGCATTGTCAACTGTGGGACCGTATATAGACAGGTGTGTGCCTTTCCAAATCATGTCCAATCAATTGAGTTTACCACAGGTGGGCTCCACTCAAGTTGTAGAAACAGCTCAAGGATGATTAATGGAAACAAGATGCACCTGAGTTCAATTTCGATGTTCAATACTTATGTAAATAACGTATTTCTGTTTTTAATTTTTTATACATTTGCAAACATTTCTAAAAGCCTGTTTTCGCTTTGTCATTATGGAGTATTGTGTGTAGATTGATGAGGAAAATGTTGTATTTAATCCATTTTAGAATAAGGCTGTAAAGTAACAAAATGAGGAAAAAGTCAAGGGGTCTGGATACTTTCCGAATGCACTGTAAATGTGTAAAGTGATAAAAACAAATGAAGCTAGTTGTGCAAGACATTTTATAGATAAAACAATAAGTAGCATACTGTTTTTAAATGTATGCATCATTTTCCCCTCCGACAAAACAAAAGCTGATTCAAAGAGGTTGGGGCAGATTTTAAAACTATTCCGTGAAGGACTCAGGTAGGATGCACATGACTATCCTTGATGAAAGTTTGCCATCGAGGAGGGGAGGACACTCTTCCGTTCGCCTAATTGACAGTCTCCTCGACCATTTATCGGTTTCTGGGTCACAAAGAAGATAGTACGGAGGAGAGAGGGTGGAAGACGGACTTTTGCCCAAATGAGAAAAGGCCCAAATGTACCCAGAGTGTCAACAGCTCCAGGGGTCAAGACTTCAGCTCTTTCTTAATTAATCCTTCCTCGATTCCTCTCCATGTCTCCTTCTCAAAACCCATTGAAGAAGAAATTCAGAGGGGAGGGACCTTGGAGCTTCTCCTCCAATACAGTTGAGAAGGAGGTGAGGAGGCAGGATACGAGGAATCAAAGAAAGTCAAATTGAGATATAGCCTAGATGAGCTCTGTGTTCCCCCTCCCTGCCCTCCCCCTCCCTGTGCCTCACCTCCAGCTCCCTGAGCCTCTCCAGGAGCTCCCTGCTGCTCTCCGGCTCTTCAACGTACGACTCCACATCGCCTTCATCTGACTCAAAGGCCTCATCACACTCCCTCAGCTCTGGCTCCTCAGACTCCATCACCACCTGTGGTGCAGAAAGGACATCAGGGACACGGTTAGTAATGGTGTAGGGTGAAGTTGCCCCTAGAAGCTGATCCTGGGTCAATTTAGCATTTTCCCGGCTAAGGGTTAAAATGGGCACTCAGCTGTTGAAACAATAACAAAGCGTACTCCATGCCATTATTTTGCTATGGATGCAAGGACTGACCATCCATGATATAAAAATAGTTTTAACCATATTTTGAGGCTATACAGTGTTTGCTTACATTTACTTTGTTTCCAAACATTGGAGTAAAACAAGCTTATATTTTGGGTTCTGATGGGGTACGACAGTTGAACTAAGCTCATGAAGCATTTATAAGTTATATTCTTCAAGAATCAATGGATGCATATAATTAATTTATAAGTCCAAAAATGGATTAACAAATGTTGATTGCGCCTTTAAGGTTAGCATTGGGAGAGGGGACCTATACCTGGGGGAAACGTCACCCCGAAGCTTAGTATCCGGGACACGGTTTGGTTCACTGTTACCATAGTAATAGAGAGAGGTCGGGGACACGGTTGGTAATAATGTCACTCCACACAATAACAACATCATCATCATCATCTCATGGGGATTTGTCATGGTTTTACACTCTTTCCAGGGTGATAATTAAAGAGGCTTTTATATTGTCACCTACATTTCACCTTCCCACCCACTCTGCTTTTGGTAACGGAGACTGTTTTCAATAGTGATAGTGACAATGAAAAGAGGATTAACTGAGATTTAAATGAAGAATGTGGAGGCTGAATTATAAAAAGCTGTACGTATCTATTTTAACACCCCTGAGCACATGTACGGCGATCACATGAATGAAGCAGGGGATGCGCCTCTAGATATTACAGTTTATTTTGCTCTCCAGGTCGCCATGGCTAAGCGAGAGGCGCCGAAACTCACATGGCTTGTTGCGTCAGAAGCTCTGTGGTTAACAAAGTTGCCAGACTCAGTTAGCCTTATACGAACCATCCTGATCTCACAAGCTTACATTCTGTTTCGATACACAGATCTGTAGCAAAACAGAATGTAAGCTCTCGAGATCAGGATGGTTTGTACGAGGCGAAGACAGTTTCTATCAAAGGCTTCAGAGTCCTTTATCTCTAAGCCATCGATCACTATCCATGTAAAGGTGAGGTCTCGTGACATAACCATTAATAAGGAAAATAATAGAGGTATTCAGTAGAAAGAATATTAACAGGGCTTCAGTTAGGGATATGTAATGAATGACGAATGGGCATTATGAAAACAATAGACCTAAAAACACATTCAAACAAAATATATATATTTTAATGGAATAGAGGAAGACTGTCCTTTTGATTCCCTAACACTTCCTAGAGTCTAGCCCTACCTCTAAATTTAGGCCCTACTTTGAGGTAAAAAAATGGAACAGGTATGTATTTTCTCGGTTGATGCTAAGTGAGATCCCTGGGACGTCCATACCCTAAACCCTAGCCCTAACCTTAACCCCTACCCTAACCTAACCGTTTTAAAATGTCAACTTCAATGGGGTGACGTCAGAGTCCCAAGGATCTCACTTAAGCCTTTTCCGTCTTTTCTCCTCCCCAGTCTTGTGCTTTAGTGGCCATAAACCAATCGCTCTATTGTATCCAGATGATGGGCGGCAGACAGGGGCAGTAAATGAAAGCACATTCCACCCTGTTCTAACCTCTTTCTCTGCCCATCCAAAATGACCTACTCAGTACCGGCAGAGGGATCTGAAGAGTGGACTACGTGGGGTAGACAGCCCTCTTCTGGCCTGTATGGGATTTACATTAGTGATGGTAAAGCCTTGATAAAGCCTTCTATCAAATGGCTTTCTTACGAAATGAGTCCCTTTGATATTTAAAGTTGAAATTGTGCACCGATATTGCATTTTAAAAGCCTGTTATATTTAATTAAGTGCCCTTTAACATAGACAACATGGAAAATTCAATAAATCATGAATACAGACTTGCTAATATGCAAAGATTCTGGCTTGTCCCTCTGCACTCTGTGACATCTAGGAAGATTTGAACCCACTTAACCCCAAGTTTTCATCATCATTATAAAGTTCCCTTTGTTGCTTTAACAAAGTAATTTCTGAAGATTATTATATATTTCATGTGATTAGTTATTCATTTTATTAGGTTAAAAAAACCTGTCCTTCATTTTAAGGTCAACCCTGTTACATAAAATGAACTCTCGTTTAATTATGGTGAAATATTTCCTTTTTAAATATAAAAAAAAAAAGTAACATTGAACATCTAATAGTCAAATCATAGTGTAAAAGCAGGTGAGCTGGTTCTACTCTTTTTGGCAATTTTCTGGTGTTTTGTGGTGGGACAACTGAGTGGGTAAAGCATAACACATCAACCCTATTACCCATAGATAGACAGGCTAGAAATGTTTGAATTTGAAATGTTTTGTGAAGCTTGCCTTCAAATTGCCCCTCCCTGTTACACACAACAAGCTTCCATTCCCCCTGTCACAAGGTGATTTATGGCTGATTTAAAGGCCCAGTGCAGTCAAAATGCATTTTTTCTGAATTTTGTATCATATTGTACAACAGCTGACGTACAAGTGTGAAACATTTGTATCAGTGTCATTTTCTGATAGTTGTTGCTTGAAAATACAATCTACACAGGAGCTTCTAATCAGCAGGTTTGCATGGGCGGTAGTTTCGGCTTTCCATGGTGACATCACCATGCAGTAAATTGGTTAATAGACCAATAAAAAAATTGAGTTCCAAACCTCTCTGCCAATAATAGTTAGTTTTCAGTTTTCCCCTCCCCACTCAGACCACTCCTAGACAGACCTAGCAAATGTATTGCTTGAGAAATAGTTTTTTGACCATTTTAATTTAAATCTATTACAGTAAGGTACTTAATTGTTACCCAGAAATTATTTGATATTGATTTTAAAATGGCAGCATTGGGCCTTAAAAATGAAATCTCAACCTGTCAACTCTGATACTTTATTTGGCACTTACTATAGTATTTTCAGTTATTTAACCTCTTCAGATAGAAAATGACAATGTTAAAATTAGGTGAAGGTTTTTTTTCACCAAGTTACACTACCCAAAAGGGACTCATTTCGTGTAACGACCCAACAGGACTTGTGGGTGTTGCAATACAAAGCCACATTTCTGAATTACGCCTATAATATGTTAGAACAAGTCACAAAAAGCTTAATAATGATGGATGACACATTAAACTCTTAAAACAGGTATGTGGTGCCAGAGAGAAGCAAAGAGAAACTCTAAGGTGAACAGCACACTTCAGAGAGACTGTTTGGGTCAGTTCAGGGCAAGAGTTCATCCTTTGCATGACTGCCAGGGTTGCGACAGCCAGCAGTAATTGTTGGTTTATTGTCCAGTGCAGCTGTTTAGAGCTGAGGTAACTGTGTCTTTGAACAGGGGATTCATGTAAGGAAGGATCAAAGTGAACACGAGGCTGCATGCCAGAGTCTGAAGATGCACTATTATAGGGAGTAGGGTGCCATTTGGGAAGGACACTGTCTAGGCCAGACAGATGGAGAGTATTCTCAGGGACATGTGATTTGTGCCACATGCCGGCTTGGATCAATACACTGCTGGCGTTGCAGCCTCCTCCTCTCCCATGTAACCCTCTTTCTGAGAATCCTAAATAAACAGGGCAGTTGTATATCCAGACTTGGGTAGGTAAGGGCTTATTTTCACCAAGCCACATAAAAAGGTAAAAGGGAACACTGACATTTTATAAAATAAGAATATATGCCATTTACGTGTATACATTTGTTACATATGGGTGATCCCGGGAATCGAATTCACTATCTTGGCATTGCAAGAGCCATGTTCTACTAACTGAGCTACAGAGTGTTCCATCCCCTTTTCCTATTCGTCCTTCCCCCATCAGTCCTTCCCCTTTTCCCATCCGTCCTTCCCCTTTTCCCATCTGTCCTTCCCCTTTTCCCATCCGTCCTTCCCCTTTTCCCATCCGTCCTTCCCCTTTTCCTATGCGTCCTTCCCTTTTTCCTATGCGTCCTTCCCCTTTTCCTATGCGTCCTTCCCCTTTTCCTGTCTGTCTGCAGATCAGTGCTCTGTTCCCTTCTTATTTTGTGATGGATGTCTGTCTGTTGACTTGAGAGAGCTTAGGGATTGGGTTTTGATTCAGCTAAGAATATAAATAGACATGGCTGGTGTGGTTAATCGATTAAAAAAAAGTTATCCTTTTTAGATAAAACTATACTAAATATAATAATGTCACCAAATAATTGATTAAACATACTATTTTGCAATTAAGTTCTACAGTAGCCTCAACAAGACTCTGTAGGGTAGCACCATGGTGTAGCCGGAGGACAGCTAGCTTCCGTCCTCCTCTGGGTAAATTGACTTCAATACAAAACCTAGGAGGCTCATGGTTCTCACCCCCTTCCATAGACTTACACAGTATTTATGACAACTACCGGAGGACGTCCTCCAACCTATCAGAGCTCTTGCAGCATGAACTGACATGTTGTCCACCCAATCAAAGGATCAGAGAATGAATCTAGTACTGAAAGCTTAAGATACAGCTAGCTAGTACTGCAGTGCATAAAATGTGGTGAGTAGTTGACTCAAAGAAAGAGAAAGACAATAGTCGAACAGTTTTGAACAAATCAATTTCTTCCAAAATGAAGGAGAAGCAAGAAAGAGATAGTTATTGTTTTTCAGTTTCACTAACTTAGCTAGCAAATGCAGTTAGCTAGTTTAGCCTACTCAAACACCCTGCTCAAACATAGCTGGCTATGAATATCCAACACAACACTGGAACTCCTCCAAGTCAAGGTAAGCTTTTGGTTTTACTAATTTATTGCCACCGGGGCCCGCCGGTGTAAATGCTAAACTGCTTACTGACTGTACACTGTAACGTTACTGCATGATTACTAACGCGTTAGTTCTATTAGCTATATTGACTATGACGTTACTTTAG